TTACTCACGCGCGTTTTATTCTTCTTGTTGTTGCTGGATATAAACATCTCGTTGTCCCGTTCGTTGTCCTCTTCGAACGATGTCTCACCGGATCCACGTTTACCGGCCGCCACACTTGTCCCGGGAAAAGTTACGTTTTTACGCGCCGACGACGACGACGACGGACCTTCGAGGATATACGCGTTACTGTCCAAAGGTTCTCGGAGATTTCAAGTTAACAATCGCCTCTTCCTCGCGAGTTTGGAATCGCGGTCACTCATGCGGGTTTTGTTCTTGTTACCGTCGCCGGTTATAAACGCCGAGTATCTCTCATCATCGCGCTCATCTTCGAGTGATGCTTCGTTGAACGCGCGTTTATTCGCTCGCGCTCTCGCTCTTGGAATAGGGGTGCTACTACGTGCCGCTAAATCATCGGGGATAGAAATGCTATTGCGCAAAGGCGATTCTTCGGTAAAAATCTGGCGAATCCTCTTCTCTCGTAATTCGCGATTTCCCACGAATTCGGGAAGAGTAGCTATATTGCGCAATAGTCGAGCGAATCGGCCTCTCCCCGTCGCTTTTAAGGTTTTTCTCTCGCGTACCGCATCGTTCACGAGTTCGGCGATGTTCGTTTCCCTTAAAACATTCCCGTCTATTGTTACGTCCCGGACGGTCGCGGCTTTAAGACACGGACACAGGTGCTCGGACCTAGTCGCGGGAATAGATCGCGTTTCGGGTACTAACGAATTTCTGCAATTCTCCCCGGGGATGCGTGCGATCGCGGGTCAATAACGCGGGATATAGTAAAAATTTAGACTCTTACCTTTTAATCCATGGTGATGATTTCTGTTCCGGTTGTGGCGGCTTGGCGGGCTCGTGCCTTAAGAAAAGGAATCTCTGACCCTGCGGTAGACGTGGCGGGAGAAGGAGATCCGACGGGAGTTGCTGCGTCGTAGTAATAGTTCAGGTATTCCTTCCTGAAGACTTTGTAGAAGGCTGGTCGCGGATCCCGTGTTACGACTGGATACTCCGGTGCGGGTAGTGAGAGAGGATGGTTCAATTCGATTCCCCTTAGTTCGTAACTTCGCGACTCGCGCTGCGTGGATTCGCTACTCACTCGCGATGCGTTATCCGTGTGGGAGAAGTAGACCTCGTATTCGGGATCAGGAATATAATCGACACCTATCAGGCTGGTGTCCTGGATGGAAACTGTGCGATGCAGTGCTTTAATTAATTTACGGAACTGTACCTTACGGCCGGCTCGTCCCTTCCTCGTCATCGGATTAAACGTTTAGTCAGCCCCCGAACTGCAAGAATACACGTGTGGACAGGGGCGTAGCACAGACTGCCCCCAGCTCTGCCCGTGGTGGAAACTCACAGCCCTGCGTTGACCAACTGACTCACCATTAGTCGCGACGTAATCGGGGGCGCAGAGGAACTGCCCCGCTCCGATTTATTGCGAAGAATGGTAGATTCGAAACGCGACAGGGATGATGCTGGTAATCCCTTTTGTTGCACGGTCACCGCTCGAGGGGAATGTGAGAGAGGGAAAGTCAACAACTCGTAAATAAATTCTAACATATATTCTAAACTCTTTTGGTTTACACTGTTACACGCTGGGCGAAAGTATACAAGTAAGAAATCTTATAAGTATGAGAAAATTTCTGAGTTAGGAAAAATTTATAAGTATGAGAAAATTTCTGAGTTAGGAAAAATTTATAAGTATGAGAAAATTTCTGAGTTAGGAAAAATTTATAAGTATGAGAAAATTTCTGAGTTAGGAAAAATTTATAAGTATGAGAAAAATTCTAAGTACTAGAGTTCGACTTATAATGAAAAATTCTAAGTATTAGAGTTCGACTTAGGAGTATAGGTTTAACTTATTCTAGACCCTATTCAGGGATGAGGGTTCACTTAGACTTGAACGAGGCCGAGTACTGGCTACCGATTGACTGAGTGTGTTGCTCGGCGCCGCTCGTTATATAGAGTTCAGCCCCTAGCAGTCGTGTCGCGAAACATTATGTAGTGGGGATAAGGGACTTAGGATGATTTAGGTTTGAGGGACTTAGAAAAATTTTAGAGTTAAAAGACTTAGAAAATTTTTAGCACTTAGAAAAATTTTTGAATTAGGGGACTTAATTCAAAAATTTTTAGAAAATTTAATTAGAAAATTTTTAGGACTTAGAAAAAAGTTTAGGGTTAAGGGACTTAGAAAATTTTCAGGGCTTAGAAAAATTTTAGAGTTAAGGGACTTAGAAAATTTTTGGGACTTAGAAAAATTTTAGAGTTGAGGGACTTAGAAAATTTTTGGGACTTGGAAAAATTTTAGGAGGGGAATAAAAAAATTAAAAAAAAATATTTGTGTGGATTTTGTCATACGTGACACTATACTCACGACCCCTTGTCTGTCCCAACTTATTCTAACGGGCATCGCCACATCGCATAAATGTCACAATAGCTTGCGCGCTTTACCGTGATAACTTTTCGGGATTTTATCCAGTATTCCTCTGATGCTTTTCTGCTCGCCGCGGCGTCCACGAAGGGGGACTTCGCCGAGGGGGCGGCTCAATGCGCCCGCGTTATCTTCATCGATACGCGCTTCCGTCGGTGCGTCCTCCTCCTCCGCTTCCCTCGTCACTCTCTCACGATGACGACGATCGAGCTCCGGTTCGTCATCGAGGACGTTGTCGTTTCCGTCGTCTTCGGGACGATTGTTTTCGGCAACGTCGTCGTCATTGCTAACGCCCACGTTTTCGCGCGTTTGTTGATTTTTTTCTTCTTCTCGGAAAAAATGCAGGTAACTTTGAAGCGCCTCTCTGTACAATTCCCATTTCTCGCGATCCTGCATCGTTGACTCGAGAATTCGTCTCATCTTGGCGTCGAGTCGCGACAAAACGGTTCCCGGTGTATACGGTATTTTCACCGGATCCCGCGTCGTTATTCACCGAAACGGTGAGAAACACGGCGGGTTGTTCTTGTTGTTGTTGTTGCTGTAACTGCTGCTGCTGCATTTTCGCGAGATTTTCCGCAGAAACCAAAACCATCTTTCTCGCTCTTTCCATGATTCATCCGCGCGAGCGTTCGATTTAATTAATTTCGCGATCTGCCGATAACGCTCGATAGAATAGCACCGAGTATGGGTCCGATCACGTAAGGCAAGAATCCCCTTCTTTGCACGATAATTTTCCTCTTGGCTTTCTAATTAGTGCGTTTACTAGCGATATTCCGCAGCGCGGTTGTGTACCCGGACAAACGATTTTTTTCCCACTGGTTGAGCGGTACGTTACCTCTGAGTGTGTTGAAAGCGCATTCACAGATACAGGCGATGAAATCGTTACCTGCGCTGCGTAAGAAGGATGTCCGCTCTTTTTTCGTTAAATAGCCCAGTGCTTTCAGAAGGCAGACGTTTTTCCGGCCGATGGAGCGACACGCGATACTCGTCGCTCTATCGCTACTCCCGCGTTTTGATGTCATCGCCAAGACGCGACTGTCGCGATGCGGGTGAGCGTGCAGAGTTTTATACGTGATTTCCCGAAGATCTACGCGGGACGTAAACATAATGAGCGTTATCCGTGGGGAAGATGCACGCTCGAAATCGATATTCGTCGGGAGTGGACTGTTTCAAATCGAGTAGCAAATATCCGTGCGATCGCGAAGTAGCGTCGTGGTACACCTCTTCCAGAAACTTCGGATCATCCGGATAAACTTGACGCGCCAAGTGGCGAATTTGCGCGCGATCGCGAGGATTTTTGAATACCACGATGTAATTGCTGTTGAGAGAAATATCCCGCTGTCCGCGACCTTGATGAATGAGATTTTGGGAAATCAGTATAACGCTGAGGTTCTTGTGATGATTACCTTTTGTGAATAAATCCACAATCACATCGCACGAGGACGATTCCCTCATAAGGTCATCGATTATCACTAATTTCGCGCAAAGCGGATCGTGCGAGTAATCATCGGGGCGGGGTAAACCCTCGCGAAACTCGACTATATTTCCCCCCGCGCGCTTTCCGATGTCGCACGATGCCGCCCCGGAATTTTCGCGGCGGTACAGCGAATCCACTTCGTGCTGCAGTTGACGATAGGCCTTCTGCCACTCCACGTAATAAAACAAAATTCTCTCGAAATGGACGTCGGACATGACGGACAAATGACGAAGAAAAGTCTTCACGAAGATCGTTTTACCGCACCCCGTCGGACCGCAAACGATCGACGTCCAAGGATGCCTCCAGCGCACGTCCATGTCGCGCGAACAAGCGGTCTTCGCGCGCGACTCTCTGGGGGGAAATGAAAGAAGATCGGCTTCCGAGCGTGGATTTATATCTCGAATCGCGCGACTGTGGGCTAGCAAACCCACGCAGGGAGCCCACGCGACGGCCGTGGCGCTCGCGCCAGCGTACATCCGCGGGGACGCGCGCGCGCGCGCCTCAGCGAGCTCTTTACCGCGGCGCGGCGCGGTTCGCGTCGCCGTGAGCGTGTTTCCTCACGCGACGCGCAAAAAGCTTATTTAGCGTTGGGGGGAAAGATACAGCTCGTATACCCCAGCGTTAGAACCGCGATTGTTGAGCTTATCGCGTTGGAACAAACGATATTTCTCGGTTCACGCTCAGGCGGGATATTTTATCCTCTTGTTTGAAAGTTACTTTTATCCGTCGCATTTAAACGTCCCGCAAGAAATTCAAAATTGTTTCGCTCGCTCGCTTAAAGTCTAGGGGTTGGAGGGGATATGAGTATGTGTAAGAGTAAAAATTGATTTAAAAAGTTTTTTATTTTTTACATTCGCCTTCGCTGCATATAAAAGTCCTTATTTTTAAAGTATAGTGCGTAAAATTTACATTGATCTTTTTACAGGAGGAGTAAACAGACGAGTATATTCCGCATTTTATTATTCCGCATTATTCCAAATTTCGCATTTTTTACATTTTTCTTGTATTTTACAGTTTTTACATTTTTCTTACCCTAGGAATAATTTTAAAATCTTACGCTACAAATAAGTAAAACAAAGGAGAGATATATCGCTATTCGCTAGAGACGTAACCGTACGGTACGGAGTATCCGTTGTCGTTGAAACTGCGCTTTAGTAATACCGGTATGCAGGACTTTGTCTCGTCTTTTGTGACAATGTTGTGAAATACGGTGCGCCGAATCGCATTAAATCGCAGTTTTATTACGGTTTTATCCTCAGCCGTCTCTTCTCCCCTCTTTAACTTTTCCTCGGCTAGTAACAATGCCTTAATGGAGCTAAAATTAAGCACGCGAGAATTTTCAAAATTCAGGGTTATCCCCTTCACTTTGCAAATTTCTCGTGCGCATTCTTCGCCCGTACGAATGACGTAAGCGTAAAATTTCGGGCCGGCGGATACAAACGTCTCGATGCAGCTACCGGGGCCGTGACTCTCGAGTTCGTTTGTCATATCGCCCAAAAAATTTCCCGTACGCGGTTTGTACTCGTCGGGATCACCAGTGCTCAAATATATGCACGAATCGGTATCGTAATATAACACGCGACGATCTAACTTTTCTAAATACGAATAAAGTTTTAATCGGGCTAACGCCGTGGTGTAAGCGGCTATCGCAACGCTGGTCAGCGGAGACGGAGTGACGACTTCTCGCCTCATTCGCCACGAAACATATATTACTTCGTCGTTTACGGGCAATACGTTTGTTATTTCGTGTTCCGGGCTCGTGAGCAGGGCCGTGAAACTCTCCTACGTTCTAACGAGTTCGGTATTCGGTAGATTGGACCGTTGGCCGAATTTACCCCAGAAGGAGTTGAGGCAGAGCTTCGCGATCGAGCGCAAGATTCGGGGAGATATTCACCCTATTGAGAACAATACCCTCGACTTTCTCGTATTCGCGCAGATAACGTTCCTTGCCGCCTTCGTCATTCGCGCATTCGTTCGGCCATCCGCTAGCCTCTTGCTTCAATTGCAGAAAGCAGTTGATATACTCGGTGAACAATCCCCCAGCCGCGTAACCGGATCGTATCGCGTGACTTCGTACCTCCATATTTCGCTCACGCTCGTGATGCGATAACCTTTTTCGATAGCCTTGCGTAACTTGCAAGACACCCACGCACCTTCGAATTCAT